TGGAGGGTAGTGGGGTTGAGGAGGAGGAGCAGTAGGAGGAAGAGGATCGGAAGAATGAGGAAAAGGAGGGTAATTCTGGGAATACGAAGAGGAGTAATCGGCGGCGGAGTAAGAGTTGGGGCCGGAGAAAGGTGGTGCAGAGGCGTAGGACGGTGGTTGAGGCGGCGGAGGAGAAGGAAGAGAGGGATCAGGGGCGGCGTAGTATTGAGTAGGAGGGGGTGGTGGTTGGTGGTGGTGGTGGTGTTGTGGGGGGTGATAGTAAGGAGGAGAGTTGAAATCACCGGCTTGCTGCATTGAGTTTGATCGCCGGAGAAGGGGTTGATTGAAGAATTCCGGCGGTGTTGAAGAGGGAGGAAGAAGAGGAGAGAGAAAGATTGTGAAATTGTCAGCGAGGATGAGAAAGGGTAAGGGGTGTGCGTAATTTTTCACATTTGTGTGGGACCCTTTATGAGGTTTATCATGGAGTTGTTAAGTTTCCGAGGGAGGAATACCTTCCGTGGTTAGAGTTTCCATTGAGTTTCATAAGATTTGGAATACATTTTCACTCTGTTCTTATGGCTCGGTTTTATTTTTTTTCCGGAATATTTTTAGGTCCTGTTAGATCAGTAATTAAATAGTACTCTGCAACGTAGTGATTAGGGTAAAGATTAGTGATTGAGATAGTATTTGGATAACCTACTGATAAAGATAAAGTTAAGAGATTTAAAAATTGACTTATCTTGAGTTAATCAAATACTTAACTTATTTTGAGAATATCGACTAAAAATTGAGTTATTTTTGACAAAGGGGATGTTTGGTAATTAGAGTTTGACAAAAAAAATAGCTTATTTGACCAAGTTAGAGGTTTGGCTACATGAATCATCTATTTTAGGTATTTTGTAAAAGAGCTTTTTAAATGAGCTGATTGAGGCAAATCAGTTAATTTGTAAAAAGCTAAATATAGCTTTTTGAGTTAGCTGATTGAATATAGAAGTCAAATAACATTTTCACCCTTCCAATTTCTTACCCTAATCAATCCAAAACTATCCAGCATTCCAACCGTTTTTTTTTTTTTTTTTTTTTAACAAAGCTCTTCTCCTTCTTTTCTTCCATGGAGCTACTGAAGGTGTGTGGAAGTTAGCCCACTATTAAGCATCTTTCAATTTCATTATCCATAGTTACACTAAGGTAAGCTAATTTCCTCCTGTTCATAATTTACATTCTATGTTTTTAATTTTTAATTTTTTTTAATCATAATTTCATAATTTCTTCATAATTTCTAATCCTGAAAGTGTTCATAATCGTCAATCGCATCGAAAATGAAACACTACTTGAAATTAATTAATACTTTCATCTTACAAAAATCATTTGAATACCCACTTTAGTTTTGTTTTCAATTTCTCATTTTATTTCACTTACTTTCTATGACAACACAAATATTTCTCATTTTAATTATTGCTTTTTTTTAAAAATAACGTTTGTTTGGTAGATACATATATGGTATCAAGTTTGCAATGGTATTATTATTTACAAATAAGAAAATTGCAATGTCCTAAATTGTCATTTCACGTGTTTAATTAACAAATAGCTACAACTAATAAGCTAATTTTACCAAACAACTCTGCATAATAAGCTCTTACCAATTAGCTAGTCAAAACAGTTCATGCAACTAGCTAGTCAAATCAGCTAATGCCACCAGTTATGACCAATCAGCTAACCGCTAATTACCAAACACGGTCAAAGTTTCCTAATACATATAATAATTCGTTTTTTTAATTATTATTATTATTGTTCAATGCAACCTCTAATTAGAAAACTTGGATCCACGGCTGATTATGTACGTAATATAAATAGAGGCATAATTAATTTTTTATTTTATTTTTTAAAAAAAAGGTATAAATACAGGCATAAGCATTAGGTTTGCCGTGAAAAGTATTTCTATTCTCCTCCGTAAAAATATTTACAAGTCGACGATGAATAGCTCATTCACGGAAGGGTCAGTGATGAACGGCTCGTCGAAATCGAACGGTGGCCACCCGTCGAACGACAACCCCGTACATCTCTCCTATCGGTATAATGTAAGTAATTCATCTGTTGGCTATGATACATTAACAAGTATGAAATAATTCTACGAGTATAAATATCCCATAACTCTAATCTTTTCACAATTTGGAGAAATCCCCAATTTGCACAAGAACCATAATTTATTATTTTTTTTAAACAAAGCCTTCATGAGTTCATTCTCTCTTATTGAAATTGCATGCAATTTGGTCTTGTACGTGATACTTTGACACTAAAATTTGTAGTCCTTGATTTGCTTTTGACATTTGTCCAAGTTTGTTGCAGCTAGAGCTTTTACTTAAGTATCTGGTTGTTACCTTGCTGGACCCTAGAGCATAAGTATACAATCTCTTGTCTTGCTAATCTGCCTTCAGTTTATTCAAGTGGTTCTCATCAAGATATATTGTTTGCTCAAGGTCTGAAGCCTCAATTGACAATCAAGATTGGTTAAAACATCTTGAGAGTCCTTTTTTGTGTGTGTTCAGAGGTGAAAGTTATTTGAAGGTTATTCCAAAATAAACAAGGTACACAAAATTATTGAAGAATTGAGGTTTCGGAGAGTTAGTGCTGAAAAGTTAGGAATAAAAAAAACTCTTAAATTATGATATTAGTTAGGTCTTACAAAGTCGATTATTAGATGATAAAAAAAATAAAAAATAAAAAATAAAAATTTAAGAAAGCCTTAAACAAGGGCAGAAAAAGTAATTTTGATTAGAATTTTGAAAAACAGGATAGAAAGTGATTATAACTTCAATTCATAAAACAAATGAAATATATACTAAATATAAGTACTTTAATATTGGTATTAGAGTATGAAACTTCTTATTTAGGTTTTTTTATTCATATTCATATTATTATCTTACATTGATTTACATAATTATCATTTGTTATTTATTCATTTAGAAAGAATGAAATGTAACTAGCTACTCCGTATATTTTTAATTTTTAGGTCTTAGATTAAGTTCAATGCATTATAAATTCGGCAATTTCATGAAATGTCACTAAATACTTACAAAATTCACCAAATGCCATCATATTTTTCAAAATTCACCAAATGTTATTAAGGTTTAGTACAATATCACCAAATGTCATTTCCGTTAGTTGACCGTCAGTATCCGTTAGTTGACCCCACCACTTGCCATGTGTCACCTTCTGATTGGTCCATTTTAAAAAAAAAATTTAAAAATAAAGAATTAAAAAAACCAAAAAAAATTAAAAAATTAAAAAAAAAAAAAAAAAAAAAAAAAAAGAGGACGAGGAGAGAGAAAATGAGGAACATTCGTCCTTCCTCCACAATCTCCCCCTCCGGTCAGCCTCCTTTTTTTCCCCTCCACGATTTCCAGCCCCCCTTCCTCCACAATCTCCGGCAGCCGTCGCCTCACTCCGACCACCTTCTCATTTCGGCGACCTTCTACATTTTCCTGCTCGCGTCTCTCTCTCTCTCTCAGTTCTCCATTGTAGCGCTTCCCGGCCCCCTCCACGATTTCGAGCCCCCCTTCCTCCACAATCTCCGGCAGCCGTCGCCTCACTCCGACCACCTTGTATCCCCCCATGAAGCAACTTCTGAGGTAAGTTGTTGTTTCTTTTACCATTTCCCAAAACCCATTTCCCAAACCCCAGGCCATTTCCCAAAACCTACCGACCCCAAACCCAGATTTCTCATCCCGATTCGCCGCTTCTTCTGCTTCTGTCACTCCTCTGAAGTCACCGGGGGATTTTGGTAACAGTGCGGCGGCTAGAAATTGGTTGGTGTCAATTTGGAATTGAAAATTGGTCTTTGGGTGGAGTGGCTAGAAATCGGAAAGGGAGAGGAAGGGTGATTTCGGGGGTTTCGGGGATGGCTGGGGTTTTGGGTTGCCAATTTCAGGGGGTTTTAGGGAGGGGTTAAGGTGGTTTAGGGGAAGGGGAGGGTGGTTCGAGGTTGAGGTGGATGTCGCTGGATCTGGCGCACGTTTTCGGGTAGTACGGCGCCGGCGGGAGGTGGTCAAGGAGGGGAGCAGGGTGGCTGGTTTTAATTTGGTTTATTATTATTATTATTATTATTATTATTATTATTATTATTATTATTATTATTATTTTTTAAATATTTTTGGTTTTTTTTTAATTTTTAAAAATAATTTTTTTAAAAAAAAACGGATCAATCAGAAGGTGACACGTGGCAAGTGGTGGGATCAACTAACGGACACTGACGACCAACTAACGGAAATGTCATTTGGTGATATTGTACTAAACCACAATGACATTTGGTAAATTTTGAAAACACGATTGCATTTGGTGAATTTTTTAAGTACTCAGTGGCATTTCATGAAATTGCCGTTTATGAATTTGGTAATACATTTAACAAATAACATAATTAATTAGATACACTAACTATGATCAACTACATTTAACAATTTATTTACATATCTTTTTAGTCTATATTGTCAACGTACGAAATATGTTACAAACAAAACACTAATCATATGCAAATTACAACTTAGACCACTCTCAATGGTGAGCAAAAAAAATATCCACCCAACTATCTCTCTACCCACTTTCTCTCTCAACAAATCAGTTTTGCCTATGGGCAAATTTTTTTCACAATTTCTCTCCCAATGGTGAGCAAAAAAAATGCCCACCCACCACTCTCTCTCTCTCTTACTTTTTCAATACCCCACCATTACTTTCTCTCTCCTACACAACACTTCTTTATTTATTAATTTCATTTATATTTTAACAATATTACTCCAAATAAATAAAAACTAGTTTAAATTTGTGTAACTTATATTTGCTCAAAATTTCTTAATTGTTTTTATTTATTTTAAAAAGCGGTACAATACTAGAAACCAATTACATTTGCAACGTCATGCATAATTAAACTTAGGAAATAAAATAAACAAAACAATTAAAAAAATAACTCGACTGCGTACGGAAAAGTAGGTAGGCCATAGTACTTGGCCTAAAGTCGTGCTAATTTTTCCCTAATTACGTGGCCCGTATTGTAACCAAATATGTTCGACTAAATCACGTTTCAGAGATAGATGAATTTCTCTATCACGCAGGGAAGCTTTTCGCTGTAGAAATGCGTTAAAGTCAAAGTCAGTAGGTCGGCCTACATTGAATTCAAACGGTGGTGTTGTAGACGTTGATGCTGGTGTTAATTCTTGTTGATCTTCTTCGTAGAAGGCTCTTAGAACTTCGGCTCGAGTGTAGTTGTGGCGCTCATCTTCAACAATCATGTTGTGCATAATGATACATGCTTTCATTATGTCCCGCAATATGTCCTCATCGTACGCCAGTGACGGTTTTCGTATTATTGCAAATCGAGCTTGCAAAACACCGAAAGCTCTTTCAACGTCCTTTCGAACAGCAGCCTGGTGGTCAGCGAACATTTTATCTTTCTGAAGTTGAGGGAATGTGATACCCTAAACAAAAGTTTCCCACTTCGGATAAATGTCGTCGGCTAAGTAATAAGCCATGTTGTATTCATGGCCGTTAACTGTAAAATTTACCGGAGGAGCTCGACCATGTAGAACCTCATCGAACACTGGTGAACGATACAACACATTAAGATCATTACAAGATCCGAGAATACCAAAGAAGGAATTCCATATCCATAAATCCTGATCCGCAACGGCTTCCAGTATTAGCGTTTCTTTCTTGTTCCTACCGGCGTACTGCGCTTTCCAAGCCGTTGGACAGTTCTTCCATTCCCAATGCATGCAATCAATGCTACCTATCATGCTTGGAAAAATACGCAGTTCATTTTGATGCAGTATCCGGGCCAATTCATCAGTTGTAGGGTTTCGCATGTACTCAGTTCCAAACTGATCAATGACCCCGGCACAAAAACGTTGTAGGGCAACTCGAGCGGTTAACTGACTGATTCAAACGTATTCATCCACGGCGTCTGCAGCCATGCCGTAGGCTAACATTCTTATCGCGGCTGTACATTTTTGCAGAGGTGATAAGCCTAACCTTCCAGCTGCATCCCTACGCTGCTGGAAGTAAACATCACCTTTAACGAACTTGTTCATTATACGTATAAACAAAGGTCGTTGCATACGAAATCTTCTTCTAAATTGGGTGGTGTTGTACACAGGATTATCGGAAAAATAATCATTAAACAGCCTGGCATGTCCCATTTCCCTATCTCTTCTATTCGTACCCCCTCTACGTGTTTTTGAAGTAGGTTGGGATTGTGTTTGGGGCATGAGGAAAGATGGGGGTTGGTATGTGAAGAGTTCATCAACGAGTTGATCATATTCTTCTGTATTTGAAGAAGATGAACTTGAACTTGAACTTGATGATGGTCCGGAATACATCATGTATTAATATTGTAATTTTCTGAATTGGTGTGATTGTGGATATGTGCCATGCCTACTATATATAGCAAATATATCAAATGAATATGTGGTTACAAATCTGAATGACCACACCAACTAAAGGAATCAAAGTTTCAGCCACGGAATAGGTATACTATGCTAGTTGACAATGACAAATCTTGACAAAGTGAATTCAGAAAAATGTGACTACACCATGACAAAGACTTATTGCAATTATGTCAGTATCAATGACCCAAAGTTAAAGCATACTGACAAAGTTAATTCAGAAAAATGTGACTACACAATGACAAAGACTAATTGCAATTACGTTGGTATCAATGAACCAAAGTTAAAGCATTTTGACAAAGTGAATTCAGAAAAATGTGACTACACAATGACAAACAGTTATTGCAATTATGTTGGTATGAATGACCCAAAGTTAAAGTGAAATAAAAAAAAAAAAAAAAAAAAAAAAAAGTGACTACCCAATGACAACAATTGAATGCAATTATGTCGGTAACAATGACAACTGAAATCAACTTGTTAAACAACTTGTCATTCAATATTGGAAAATCAGAATACAAGTTTACATATGACATTGAAATTAAACACACCACTAATACAAGTTAAACATAAAAGACTACATTGCGCATAATTAAAACTTAACTAATACAAGCGTACACCTACTACAACCAAACATGCTTAAAAGCCCTGTAATTTACCTAGTAAAAAATTCTTGTACGACTCTTCTTCATGAGTGAGTGGCGTAGGCGAATTCTTCAGAGTTTGCAGCATATCAAACATGGTTCTCATCTTATGAATGTCAAGTTCCTCCCGTTTCCTCTGTTCCTTATCCTTTTCAATTTTGATCCTCTCTTCCTTCAGAATGGCCTCCCTTTCGCGAATTGTAGCAAATTCCTTCATTCGTTCGCTAAGCTCAGACGAACCACTTTCTGAAGCTACTTCTTTACCCTTTACGCTTGGCCTTTGCTTTCTTCACACCTTCGGGTCGTTGTATTCCTCCAGATGAAAAACCATCCGTAGGGGTTTCATCCCCTCCATCATCTCTAGACCTCTTCCCACTTCCAGCACTACCTTGCTCCTCAACATCACAAGCAGCTTTTCTTTCCTTCTTTGACAAGGACCATCTCAGCTTTGGCCTCCACTTTGGATCTTTATTAAGCATTTCAACCGCGTGAGGAAAAGCGAAATTGCGACCTTAGGCGAGATGAAAAAGCTTCGACGCACATTTTATACGGTCAGCTTCGTTGTAACCACTCCCTCCCTCCGGAAGTCTACCCGCTTCATCATAGCAAGATATCCACTGTAGTGTGTCCGCTGCCAACCTTCTCCAGTGCGACGTCAGCCTCTTCATAGGTCTTGGCGGAAGTATATGCGGCTTCTCCGCATGAGCCATTTGATATGCTGCGTGTACATCGCGCCAAAGGGAAGTTGCTTTCTGGCTCGTACCTTTAATAGCATTCTCGCTGATCTCCATGAACAACCTAATCAAAGTTTCATCTTCCGCAACAGACCAAATTCGAGTCGCTCGTGCAGCAACCTGGTTGGATTCCAGTCTGGGAACTGCTGGAGGATACTGCGGCGTCTCTGGTACGCTTTCCTCTTCACTCTCATCGAATTGTGTGTTGCTATCATGATCAGTTTCAGGTGTACATTCTTCATTAACATGGTTTCATAGGGGAAACTGAGTGGGTGTCTGATACTGTGGAGGTGGTTGCAAAGACGTATTGCCCATTCTTTGCAAGAACAATTGAAACTCGGGATTAGCTAGGAAATCATCACTTAAACCAGAAAATTGTTGACGGAAATTTGGGTTGTTTGGATCCATTAAAAGATTCTGCATCACAAAAAAAAAAATTGTAAAAAAATTAATTTAAACAACAAATTAAAATGACAACAAATAGTAAAAAATAATCTAATACCACTTAATTTATTAAATATATAACTTTCACATTCAACAACATATAAACAAAATATATAATACATAATATAATGTAACGAAATTAACTATACAACTTTATTAAATATACAACTTTCACATTGAACAACAACTTTCTAAATTAAATTATATATATACAAAACAACTTAAATTAATTTCAAATTTATGAATGGATGGACAAAATAACAACAACTTTCTAAATTCAATTATATATATAATTGCTAGTACATTACATGAACTACATTTTTTTTATTTGCCAAAAAATCACATATACAACTTTCACATTTATTAAATATACAACTTTCACATTCAACAACATATAAACAAAACATATAATACATAATTTAATGTAACGAAATTAAGAACCTACACAAAAATAACATATACAATATATTTTATCATAACAAATTACTTCGCATATACAAAACAACAACCCCAATTTCAAAAAAATTACCAAATAATTTCAAATTAATTATCTACAAATTTAGTAATGTATGGACAAAATATCAACAACTTTCTTCAATTATATATATAATTGCAATTACATTACATGATTTACATTTTTTTATTTGCAAAAAAATCACGTATATACTAATTTTAATAAATAATTGAATTTATATATATATAAAAAAACATATTTACCTGAATATGGGTGAAATACAACAAAATCTTCTTTTAAAATTGCAAAATATTTAGAAAAATAAAGAATATAGAGGATTTATGGATTTTTTGAAATTATACCAAAATATATCAAAATGCATGTCTATTTATAGAGAAAAAAAAAATTATGACCGTTGGTAATTTTTTTTTTTTTATTCAATATTTTTTTCAGAAATTGAATTACAAAAAAACTAACCGTTGCAACAGCTATATTTTTCCTATTGGTCAAGAGCCTGCACACGCCACGTGGCGAGCTGCCATTCGTCAAATCCCTGTACGCGTCAGTCCACTTGCCTTTTTTTTTTGTAAATTCCCGCTCAGCAAAACGCATCGTTTTGATGCGGGGGTCTTCTTGCTGCACTCCAAAATGCAGCGTTTTGCATGCTGGTCACCGAAATTTTTTTGGCTGGGTCAGCAAATTCGTGGGCCCCACATACTTACTATTCATCCTATTTTTTTCTCATCTCATGGGCAAAATAACAAATGCCCATTGGCATTTTCAATTTTGCCCACCATTGCAAGACTACTTCTACCAAAATGCTCATGAGCATTTTATTTTGCCCACCATTGTAAGTGCTCTTAGCTATAACATATTTTGAATCTAATGCGCGGGATGCGCGATAGGGCAATTAGTATTCAAAAAAGAGAAAAATTTGTAAATTTAGACACCCAAGCGAAATCATAAAAATAAAAACTTGCTATATATCCAATGCAAATTACATCTAAAGTAAAATTACATAAAAACTTTATATAATTAAAGAAAATTGTCAAACATCATGCATTCACCTATTAATTATGTATAGTAAACCTTATTAGATACCCAAAACAAAATTACCAATGTTTGAGATGTCCAAAATAAATCATGATAGATCTCTGACACATCAAATAAAATAAAATCATATCAAATATATTTTATTAATTGAAATTGGAAGGAAAGCTCTAACCACCTGAGCTATCCCCCACTCTCATTTCAGATGCTAGTTGCTTGTCTTGTCGAGATCATATCGAATCATACGAGAAAATAAATAGGGCTCATGTGATAGGAGAAAGATAGAGAAAACATATTAGTTAAAAAGGACAATGATGCAACTAATTAATTTAAAACTTTCGTTTACGGAAAGTAATGCAACTAGAGAAACAAATGAAGTATTAATTTTCTATTACATATTGCTAAATATCTTTAGTTGTGTATTTAAAAAAATTTATGAAAGTTGTTTGGTCAAATTAACACATCAAATCAGACAAGCCTAGACCTTATTATAATCATACCATGTCATCTTATTTTAGTGTTTCTATGGAATCTTTTGTTTTTGGCTAAAGTTTGTTTAGATTTTTTTATTCTATTGATTCGAGACAATTTTGATGAATTAGGCCCTGTTCACTTCACCTTATAAAAATATACTTAGTTAAAATAGTTTCAATTGAGTAAAAATAAGTTCAGCTAGTTCAGTAAAAAATAAGTTCAATTTAGTAAAAATCCGTAATTTCAAAGAAATATACTCCCTCCGTTTCATAATAATTGCAACACTTTCTTTTTTCATCCGTTTCATGATAATTACAATACTTCCTTATTTGGTAAGAACCCAGTAATATTTTATTACTAGTTAAAGTCTCATACAGTCCACGAATTTTACTAAATTATATAGTGAAGTACAACATTAATTTAACAATGATATACTAAAAAAGAATTATAGTATCCTAATACACTACTTATTTCGCTCATTTTTATAACAAAATTACTTAATGTAAGATATATACAATATGAGAATTTTTTTTTTGAAGAAACATATAAGAATATTTCGTTTGAGTGTGTATGGAAAAAATATAATCGCCAAAGTGAAAGGTGAATATTATAGGCTATAAGGCCCTGTTCACTTCACCTTATTTTTGCTGAACTGAAATTATTTTTACTGAACTGAAATTAATTAGACTGAACTTAAATTATTTTTGCTGAACTGAATTTTTTTTTACTGATTTTCTATTATATTTCTTCTTTAAAGTTATTGAATTTTATTGAACTGAATTTTTTTCTGCTGACTAAAATTACTTTTGCTTAACTTAAATTATTTTTACTGAACTGAAATTATTTTTACTTAATATTATTTTTTAAGGTGAAGTGAACAGGACCTAAATACTAATTATGAATGATAGACAAAAAAAAAGGGAAAGATAAAGTGAAGGGAAAATTTTCAACCAGTGGATGATGTTTGGGGGTAAAAGTACCCTTGACAAATGGACCTATGTGTCCCTAAGCTGAGCGCTCAATGAGCCAATTAGAGCATGACACGTGTCATTCAAGGAGGAAAACGGGCTTTAAGCCCATAACCCTAGAAACCGTAAAACGGTGGAAGCCCATCAAATAGGTTAAATAACCTAAGAGGCACCTATTCCAAAGACTCTATATATACTGATCATTTACATCAGTTGAAGAGATAGGTTCAATTGAATACACATTCAATCCTCACAAATCACAGAGCTAAAAGCTCAGATATTGAGGTTGTCTCAGACAGCCAGGTAATCACTCCTCTCCTCAGAGGAGCCTAATCCCATTTACATTCCGCACTTATTACATCCGTACACGTTTTAAGTTGATCGTCGCAGGCGGAACTCCCACCCATGGGAGTCTTTGTTATTTTGCAGGTACAGGCGTCCGGAGGTTAGTCTTGATGTTGTAACCCCTCCCGCAGGACATAAAAAACCCGAAACAGATGACATGAGTCATCATTAGTTTCGCTTTTAGTATTAAGTTATTGATTTCTCTCTCCTACTAACCCCACTTACACTTCGTTTTTATGAAATTATTTCACTCTTATTTAGGCACTATTATTCACTTCACCTTAAAGAAAAAAATATTCAATAATAATTTCAGTTCAATAAAATTAAGTTCAATTCGGTAAAAATAATTTCAGTTTAGTAAAAATAATTAGTTCATTAAAAATCAGTGACTTAATTTAAAGATTTTTTTTATTTTTTCTGAATGGAATAGGGAGGGTTGATTTCATTAAATAATAATAGTCATTTAGCACTTACAATCATCCCTTAATAGATCTAAATTCTCAATACAAGAATTAATCACCCCTAAACTAATGGCATCGCTTCTGAACTGCTCCTGAATAATTTTGATAGAGAATCAGTAAAAATATTTTCAATTCTTTAAGTAAATTTAATTTCAGTAACTTCGCCAGTGGGTTTCCCGCTTCCAATCTCAACCCTAGATAAAGGAGGAGGGTTACGGTAGGTCAGGGACTGTAGTGTAAAACTTTGTCACATCACTTAACATGAGCCACAATGATTGAGAGTAGTACTAGGATGGGTGACCTCCTAGAAAGTCCTCATGTTGGTTCATGTAGCTGACCCCATGTATGTGATTAAGGCGTTCAAGCAGAAGAAAAGTAAAATTATTTTCAGTTTAGCAAAAATGATTTCAATTTTGTAAAAATAATTTCAGTTCAGCAAAAATAAGGTGAAGTGAGCTGAGCTTTATTATAGTACCTAGTATTTTAGAAACGCATTTTGCTAATTAATTAATTAATTATTATTTTCTAAAAATGGTATTTTAGTAATTTATTTCACTATTTGAATTTTTGAGCCAAAATGATATTTGAATTTTGGTGCCAAAAGTATTTTAAAACTTAATAATTATTTTTGGATTTTGGATAAGATTTATTATCCATTTATTTTATTTAAAAAACTGGATTATTTGTACATATTTCTGATATTTTAATTAAGCAAAAAAAATTATATTTTATTATTTAATTAGGAGGTCCGAAAATTCCTAATGATTGGCTATTAATTTCTGATTTTCCTAGTGTGGGAAATCTGATTTTCTTACTTAATATATTTAGTGAATAATTGGTATTCTCTTAATTAATTATTTTATGCAATATATATTATTTACACAATCATTTTTAATCCTTAAAATCTAGCAAAATAACTTCCTAAATACTACTAAAGAGGTCCGAAAATTTGATCTATGGAAGCTCAAAATTTTCGGCCATCTTGTTTGATTTTTGGGTAATTTATTTGGTAGTTTGTATTTTTAATTATCTTCCTTAATTCTATTATTTTTTCTTAATTAATTCTTATTTCCCATCTCCTAAATATTTTATCATCATATTTCCTTACCTTATATCATCCTTGATTATTCCCCAAGCAAAGCCACTTTCCATATTATTTTTCATGACAACAAACTTTCCATAAATTAATTATTTCTTAGTCACCTTAATATTAAACTTTCCATAATTCTTTAGCTCTCTTCTCCAAGTAATTTCCTTAATTCTTTTTACCATAATTTTTCCTACATTCTCTTACCATAATTCTTGCATGAGCTAGCCTATAAATACCTCTTTAATCATAGCTAAACACTCACACCAAATTCTCTAATTTTCTCTCTTAATCTCTCTAATTCTCTCCTCTCTTTCTCTTGCTTTTTACACGGCCGCCACCACCATTCACCACCTCCACGCCGGCTGCCACCCTCCCCGACGCTAACCACCACCTTGAAGCCACCTGCAGCCCCTCCTTGCCGCCACCTTTCTTCCTCTTTTCCTTGGTTTTCAACCTCTTATTCTTCTCTTCTCTTAATTAATTATATTATTATTATGGGGGTTTTATAAAAATAATAATGAGTTTTTTAATTAAATATTTATTATTCAAGTTTATGAAAAATAATTTATTAGGTTCATGTACATATATTTGGGGGTTTTATTTTAATTGTGGTGATGATTGTTAACCTTATATTGATTAAGGTTACATTAATTTGTAGGGTGTGTTTGACAAGAGTGACTGAAGTTCATGTTTGTGTTGCTAGAAAGGATCAAAGGTACGTTTAGGTGGCTAGATACCTTTGAAATTGATTGGATTTAATAAGCATATTTTGTATGATTTTTATGATGATTGAATTAAATTGAATTGAATTATGATTTATGAAATAAAACTAAAGTATGTTTAAATAATTGGTTTTAATGAGTAAATTGAAGGATTGATTTAATATCATGTTTCGAATAATTAAATTATTTATCCTGTTTTAAAAATGTTTGATTTCGAAAGCATGTTGAATTAAATAAAGAGCTGAGTTTCTAGTTGTTATAATAAAGATTGGAATTATTGAATTAAAAAGGATTTATTGAATTATTATTATTAAATCTTTACAAGCATGTTGATAGTAATCGACTATGCAGATTTGGTTGATAAGACTTTGGACTTTGCATGACCGAGTCTTTCCTCAAGAATAGCCTTGCAATATAAGGAGACTAGCTTAGGGGGGTGTGCACACTTGGGTGAGGGGACTTTGAAAGTAGGGGACTTTGTGTTACTGTAAATGGAGGCAACCAGTAGGTCCAATGAGCAAGGAAAGTTGACTCCCAAATTGGGAAAGCCCCTACTGGATCTATGAAGAAGTGAGAGGCAGCACCTACTACCTAGAAACTCCAGACGGCAGGCAGCTAGCCAGAACTTGGAATGTAGATAACTTAAAAAGTACTACTTCTAAGACTTCGAAATTTTTGAAAATAAAGAGCCTATCAATGAAAAAGTTGCTTTTTATTTTCAACTCTGTTTATTATATATCTCCTAAAGGGAATACCGTCTGTGCAATGTGCAGACGACCTTATTAAAACCAATAGTCTCTCCAACATGAGTAGACATCCGGCGGCGCCTATCCGGGTGAATTCGTCACAGAGAGAACCTCCCATCCGGGTGGCACATTGCTCTATAAACTTAATAACAAACGGCCCTACCGACTGTCTGGATTAAGATAAGCTCGCAGCCGTTTGAATGAGAGCAAGATAGCTAAAGGTCACCGCCTATTCTACAACAAACAGTAACCGGCTACTATCTTGGTTGGATACAACCTTATTTCGATACACTGTTTAAACGGCTGCTATTGCACAAGGGCAATACAAGCGGCAAAGTTCCAAATAATAAATATAAGCTAAGTCTAAAAAACTTAGCAGCTAAGTATTCGTTTTAGAACGATCTGATGAGGCCAATGGCCGGGTAATATTAAAAATCATCGTCTGCTCCAACATGAGTAGGCATCCGGCGACGCCCATCCAGGTGAATTCGTCGCATAGAGCATCTCCCATCCGGGTGGTATATTGCTCTATAAACTTATTGCAAACGGAAAAGATTGATTAGCCCACTGAGGCGCACTCATAGCCGTTTAACATGAGCAATCTAAAGGAAACTTAAACGGTCTACAAAAACAGCATGTTTCATAGACACCAGCTGGTAACCGGCCGTCATTCCAACTTAGATTAAAATCTCATGATAATTGATTCATGAGATTATCCGGATGACCGTCTGATACTCTATCCGGATGCTTGATGGAAGACTATCCCCTTCGTTTGGGGCAATCACCTTAGTGATTGATTGACTCAAAAATTACAGGTATCAAAAATTTCCAGGTCAATCAATTCACCTTTGAAACCAAGCGCACAGCCGTCCAGGGGCAAAAACAGCCGGCATAGTGAAAAAATTCATTGAAAAAATTCATAGAAAAAAAGCAAGTTAAATACTTAGCTAAAATCTATGCATATCAAAAATTCAAAAAGCAAGTGCAATATGATAAAACCGGACATATGGCCAGATGATTCATTTAATAACTTAGCCGATCCCATGGTCTACTAAAAAAGAGTTAACCGGTACAACCGGCAAAAATTGTCAAGGTTACCCGACTCCTCAGTCGGTAAAGATACAAAAATAGACGGTACACAGGCCGGAGAAATTAATAAATGGTCGTCTGACCGCAGAAACAAACAACTTAATTTCAGGAGGGAGCTCTCCATTATCGACAGCCGCATCCTCTTTCTCCCTAGTCGGCTGCCGGTCATTTTCATTTTCCTGCTCCTCCTCCTAATTAGACCCCCCGGATGACCCCTCATTAGAGTCGGACGAATCCTCCTCCTCTTCCTCCTGGGCTTCTCTCAAGAGCCTATCATTGAACTCAAGGGAGGCTGCGTCAAATTGATGCTTCCACCCGTCATAGTCAGTACCAGGGAAGAGGGACTCCCAAGTCATCCGCATGATGGCATCACAGTCCTCCATCATCTGCTTCACCAGGGCCTCCTTCTCCTCCTCAGCTCTTAAGGTATACTTCTTTGCGAGATGGACCTCCTGGTTTTGAGCTTCTTCTTGAGGCTCTCCACCCGCGTGCGGAGTCTGTCTGCCTATGCATCCGCCTCCTGGAGGAGCTCGAGTTTGGCCTTGAGGTCCCTAATCTCCTTCTCCAGCTCAGATATCCGCCTTTTCCCTACGTACAGATCGGCCTTGACCTGCAGATTAGCTACTACCTGAGAATACAGTATATCAGTGGTTAGTAATTCATTTTAAGAAATCTGAAATGCGGTCGTATCTAGAGAAGAGGCGGCCCGAGCGTTCACGGCTTTTACCTCTTTGGTCTTCTTAGCAAACAGTTTTTTAACGTCGTTCACCCGCAACATAGCTTGCATCCGGCAAAGTGGCAAAACATTAATATCAAGCGGCTCGAAGAGTTGCACAAAAAAGAAAAATAACAAGTTATTGTACCTCAGCAAGGAGGGCAAGAATGGCATCAAAGTTGAGGGAGCTAACTCCTTTCATAGACTTCCTGTCCCCGGGGGAGATGGCAGCTGAATATCCGGCTTTGGGGACATATGCACATTCAACACTTTATAAGTAGTTGACGTAAATCTGGCCTATAGACCGACTGTCTTCAGAAGTGTTGGTCGACTGTTGATTGAACTTGACCCTACAAGGATAGGGCAAGGGATTAAGACTTGTAATACCTCCAGCAGTCGCCTTCTCCTTGGGGGTCTTGCTCCTACCGGCATCCTCCCAGTCTTTTGGGGGTTTGCTTCCCCCAGCTGCTGAGCCAACAGCAGCATCGAGTGGACCCTTACCACTCTCGACACATTATGGGCGTCTGGCTTTTGTAAGGCCTCAAGGCCTGCTTGTTATTTTCCCCCAGTCGAGCGGTGGGTCTTTTCAGGCTTCTGGGCCACATGCTTCCTGGGCTTGCCAGGAGTCTTCACATCGCCGCCCGACTGCTTTTGAAGCTTCGAGTCCAGCTGAAAAGAGGGGGAAGGTTTGGATGAATCGCCCTGAACATAAACCAGAATGAGTAAACAGGCAGGAAAAAGAAATCGAACTTACTTTACTAAAGAATGTGGCTCACCTTGGGCGTTTTGGGAGCCTTTGGATCCTCGTTCTTCCGCTTGCCCAAAATGGAGCGATAATAAGCGGCGGAGTGGGCGGTCGGCTTCTTAGAGGCGAAAGATTTTCCATTACTTTGTGTGCATAAGAAGTTGGAAGTGGTTAGTAAGATGAACAAAACAATCAAAGTCTTACTGAAAATCAAAACGCATTTGGTCATCTACCTCTCGGCCTCTCAACACTCAAGCCGCAAGCGGCTAAGTAATTCCTATCAGCCAGCCAGGCCAATCATGGCGGGGAATGTAGCTGTGGGGGATGACTTCTTTTTCCCCAGTCTCCTCATTGGACCGAATGGTCACTTTAAAGAGACCTTTGTCCAAGATCTGCTCTCTAGCCTTTCTTGGGACAGGCAGCAATTCAACTCCGCTTGATAGCAAAGGTGGATTCCGGTTCCACCATTTATATTTTTTATTCTTCATCCGGTCAGGGGAGGAGATAATGTAAAACTTGATTCTCCAGTCCTTCCACTTGGACTCCTTCCCGACAGTCATCATGTAGCCTTTGTGGCTTGAAAGGGTGTACCATCTGGACCCACTTGCTTTCGGGGTTCGGCTAAGATAGTGCATTTGGGCAAAGGCCTCAAAATTTGGCTCTACCTCCAGCATCTCACATGCGGAAACAAACCCCAGAATGTTTACCCAAGAGTTGGGGGCAAGTTGCCAGATACCGAGCTGGTATCCATCTAAAATTTCTCCACAGCCGGATGGAGAGGGAATCTAAGACCATCTTGAATGGTTGCCTCATTACAGCCAAAGCATCCGTCCCCGTAGTTTAACCCTTCTGGCCGGACTACGGTGTCCTCAGCATCCGGGACACTTATAATAAAACCATGTCCCATGACATGGTCAGCTCTGAACTTTCCCACCTTGTCAGCCACAGTCTTCCGCCTGCCTGTGGGAACGTGGTGGTATTAAGCAGCAAATTGTTCTCGGCAATGGGCAGAAGGCTCGGCTTATCCCTCACCCATTTAAGTGGAGAGAAACTCTCTTGATATCTCCAACCGAGAACGCTTTTCATTAGAGTCCTCAAAGACTCTACCAGAAGTAGACGACTCCGATTCATCGTCAGAGTTGTCGGACCTAACGTCCGAATGAGGGGCCTGATGAACAGAGTTGGAGACATCGCTCTCTAACTCCTCCCCTGATTCTTGCAAAATCGAATCATTGGGGGTACTGGGATTCTAGGCGGCATATCAGAAATTTCACTCACAGGCGCCCTAAAAGAGCCGTCCGGATTTTGCTACCTGGTTGTTTGTTTTGTTCAAGCCATGGTGTCCTGCACAGACACAGAGACACTCAGATTCGGGGAAGTTCGCAAAGGGAGTGCAAGAAAGGGCAGTCGACACTCCTAGTTCTAAACTCAGTCGTCCCCGGTGACCGGCTGATCACTAACCTAGACCGTGTCGTGTGCGTTTGGGAAACCATTTTCAAAAAGAAAAGAAATAAAATTAAAATAAGAGAGAAAAGCAGGTGATTACCTTAGATTTGAAGGTACTGAGGACGCTTGAAAAAGTCTTGGTCGGTTGAAGAAACAGACGGACAAGTTGCAGGTGGCAGGTGCTTTTCTCATAAACAGAAAAATTCTTTCAAAAGTCAAAGATTCTTTGTCCGAAAAATTCTCGTGAATATGCGAAAATGAAGGGATAAGGAAACATATATAGAGGGGTAAAAATCTCAGAGGCAATCCTGACATTTACTCTAGAAGGTAAAATAGAACAATATTGTCCACCCGTCCATGTATGACACTTGTCACAAGCGCCACATGGCACGCCACGTCACCCCTGTGAAGGGCAAATGATTTGGGTATTTTTACCCCGCCGCGTGGACCAACTAGCCTTAACACGTGTCACCCTAGGGAGAGCCCAAAGTGGACCTACCAGGGCCAGACACAAGGTAGGCAGATATCATATATGGAGTTGGCGGCCTTCAGGGCTCAATTCCCTAGACAGCCTGTAAATCTTAGGTTTCTGTAACCTAGATAGGAGCACGAATCCCAATGACTCTTTAAATAGGGAGATTTACCCCACCTAGGGACGAGGAACATAAGCATTTAATGATTGCATGATAATTAATTCTCACATGAGAGAAAAACACCTGATCTCGGAATCCGAGAAGATCCCACTTTACTTTCCGCACTTTTTTACATTCTCCGTACACTTTCTAACTTGGTCGTCGGAGGCAGAACTCCACCCAACCAGATTCTCCGTTGTTTTGCAGGTACAAGCGCCTGGAGTCCAGAATTAGTGACATAACTCTCTCGAGGGACACAAAAAACCCCGAAACAAAAAACATTTAAAAAAATCGGGCCAATTGGCTTTAGAGAGAGAGTGACCAATTAAGAAAGATAACATAAAAATAATTAAGGCAATTAGCTTAGAAGAATGAGAAAGATCACTTAAGAAAATTAGGCAATTAGCTTAAGAAAATAAGACACAATTAGCTTAGGAATGAAATACTTACTAAAATGCGAGAGAGAGGAAGAGCACTTAAGAAATCAGAGCAATTAGATTAGGAAAGCGCAATTAGCTTAGAGAGAGAGAGAGTGCGCTTAAGAAAGATCATTTGAAAGAGAAAGAGAGAGAGCGAGAGAGACTGCTTAAGAAAGATCATTTGAGAAAGACCACTTAAGAAAGATCACTTAACAAAAAGAGATAGAACACTTAAGAAAATCAGAGAAATTAGCTTAAGAAAAAGAGCTACTAAATGCTTGAATTGAGTGTGTGTGCGTGTGTGTGAGAAAGAGAGACCACTTAAGAAGAAAGACCACTCAAGAAGGAAGAAATATCACCCAAGAAGAAAGATTGATTAAGAAAATAAAGATCAATTAAGAAGAAAGATTAATTAAGAATTAAGATCACTTAAAAAGAAAGGTCACTTAAGAAAAGGTTGATCACTTAAGAAAATCAAGAGACCACTTAAAAAAGATCACTTAAGATAATTAAGGTAATCAGGGTAATTAGCTTAGGAAAGAGTGGGAGAAAAACTACTTAAGAAAGATCACTTTAAAAAATCAAGAGATCACTTAAGAAAATTAGAGCAATTAGCTTAGGACAATAGTACCCTCTAAAGTAGTCCGTTCTAACCAATCCAAATAATTAGCAAACTTAGCCACCACAACAAACGCTTGAAATATTGCCACCTTGGCACCTTCTATTGCATTTTTTAACACTACATCTAATTTTTTTCCCATGGTTGCCTCTACCTTCAACCTTTGTACCCCATTTCATTACCTTCATCAAAGATTGTACACCTTACAAAAACTATGAGTATTTGCATATACAAAAGCTATTACTGATTTTTCCTTTTGTATACCTTCACAAAAAATAAAATTGACATTTGAACTTTCCATAATTATATAGAATTAGACACATTCTAAGTTATGAACTCTGCGATTTGTATGAGAACTATCACTTTTAGAAAAACCACAATGAACATTCCAAATACCTAAAAGAATTAATATTATACAATATTCCATATTATACCTTTAGATTGGGCTAAAACTTTACAACATAATAAATAATTTACATTAAAATACCAAGCCCAACCAAAGCAAAGTATCTAATACAATTAAGGAAAGTAAAATAAAAAAATAAGCTTGGAGCCACTTATATAATGTAACAAGATTATTTTTCCACATATGCTTTTACTACCCTATTAATATTCTAAAAATACAATTCTTTTCAATATTTTCAATAATCACTCCTTATTCAAATAAATCTATATAAAAAAATGCGGCTACCAAATGCCTCAGTATACATTAGTCCAGTATACAATTGTCTACCACAGTTTGAGGAGCTTGTTGTCTCAAGGTTTGACCATTTGTTAATAGGAAAACTGAACTTAGCCTACAAAAGT